GTAACACACTTCCTAATAAAATTAACGTACATATTGCTAATTTAACGCAGGAAATTAGCGTCGACCGACAAAGGAACGTAAAAAGTAAATAATCTCCTCCTCGAGAGTGGGTGAGAACCACTGCTCCCGAACATCCAACACCCCAACTAATCCAAATACCCTTTTTCTGCCCAGCTAACCCGGCCGCCGATCGTACATTCGACGTGGTGCAGAGGATGGACGGTCGCATAGTGGGGGGCGAGGCGACGACCATATACGAGGCCCCGTACCAGATCTCCCTTCGAAAGGACGGCTACCACATATGCGGTGGGAGCATAATCGGCGCCAACTGGGTGTTGACCGCGGGCCACTGCTCCGCGTACCCGACCGCCTCCTACGAGATCCACTCGGGCTCGACCGACGTGAACTCGGGCGGCTCGGTGCACAAGGTCGAGCGGGTGATCAGGCACGACAAGTACAGGACCGACGCGAACGGTATACCGTCCAACGACATAGCCCTGTTCCGCGTCCACGGCTCGTTCGAGTTCAACGAAGCGAGGAAACCCGTCCAAATGTACCAAGGCGACTCCGCCTCCCTGGTCGGCAGAAACGGGCTGGTCACTGGCTGGGGCCAGACGAGCCCCGCCAAGATACCCTCCGTCCTCCACAAGGTCTCGGTCCCCCTGATCGCGAAGAGGGAATGCGACCGGGATTACGCGAGGTTCGGCGGTGTGCCGAGGGGCGAGCTGTGCGCCGGGTACCCCGAGGGGGGGAAGGACTCGTGCCAGGGTGATTCGGGAGGACCGTTGGTCGTCGACGGGAACTTGGTCGGTATCGTGTCGTGGGGGATGGGATGCGGCTCGCCCAGGTATCCGGGCGTCTACACCGACGTCGCTTATTATCGGGAATGGATCAGGGACAAGAGCGGCGTTTGAATCGGTTTCATTTCGAGAGCCTTTTTAACCCTTTCGGCGGCAAAAACGATTTTTCGCTACGATTGTTGAAAGGAGAAGATGATTTTCAGAGAAAGACAACTCGCGGCATCTAGTGCAGAAAGTAGTTGAGCGAAAGGGTTAAGGTGAAATTCGACACTGGCAAATTGATAATCGGAAGATGATTGATTAGTAGGGATTTCCCGTTCTCGCTTACTCGATGTTACTCGTAAGAGTGTGGTAACGTTTTAAACTTGATATTTCGAGACGAGATGATAATTTTGTGTATATATTTTGTGTATAAATATGTGTGTAAAAATCGGTTAATTATTGTAAATAAAAGTTGTACAGGGAATAAAATGTTTTTGCTATTTATCTATGTCGAAGTTTGATTTCCTTCAAGTTAAAACTCTCCCATTTTCTCTCGATAAATATTGCTCGAAATGTTTCTATTACTTTTTAAATTGAAAAAAAAAGAAAAGGAAAATATAATATAGTTTTCTTTGTTTTTCGTGGAACTTTGACAAATCTACAAAGTGAAAAAGGTTGCGATAAATTACAATTATCTTAGAATCGTAGATTTACATGAATCTGAATTTCTGAACGCGCGATTAACGATACAATCCGTGATAAAAGGCGATAGAATCGTTGAAAAGAGCGAACCAGCGTTTATCCAATTGTCGCGTATTTTCGTTTAATGATTTTCATTCAGGGATCAAATGCATTTAAGATCGTCGGATAAGCGATGACAATGCAAAAGAAACGTATCTGCATTGTAGTCGTTTATCGCTTATCGTACGTGTGTGTGTGTGTGTGTGTGTCCAATTTTTCGTGCTTTTTTTATTTGAATATTCCTTCGTTCTTTCGAAAGATTTTTATCGGTCGCGATAAAGCGAAAGAAAGAAAGGAGGAAGAGGAGAGATGTCGATCAATTTCCAATGCTAAAATCCTCGTGAATTCGCAGAGATCAATGTGGATTTACGAATCGTTAATCTAGCTTTTTTCGAATAGCCCACTTATCGACGGATAACACCATTTGCACGAGATATTCGTTTTCATATAAATAGGGTACGAATTTTAAGGAAAGGCAGTTCGAAATCGCGACGAGATGTACGGCAAACTGAATTTACTGGCGCTAGTCGCAATCGCGACAGGTAATTCTTTCATTCTCGATTGTTATTCATTTTTCTGACCGATATTTGATAAAAACTTTTTTCCCTCTCTTACTTTGATCCTCCTCTCAACATCAAGATGAATCTTTCTCCAGTTGACTGTGAACGTTAATTCGAAATTCAATTTATTATACTCTTCTTAATCCTTTTCTATATCAAGACCAACAAGATGAATCTTGTTTTTCTCCAATAAACTACTCATCTTTTATTCTTCGAATGCTCAAATTTTTCACGTTCAAAAAAGAATGTTAATTCAAATTTCAACTTCTTCCTCCTCTTAATTCTTTTCTCTATACCAAAACCAAGATGAACCTTATCTTCCTCTAACAAACCAGTTACTTATATCTCCGAATGTTCAAATTTTTCACGTTGAAAAAAGAATGTTAATTCAAATTTCAACTTCTTCCTCCTCTTAATTCAATTCTCCTATACCAAGACCAAGATGAATCTTGCTT